GGAGAGGAACCAAAAAAACCCTGCTTATTTGGGTTTTTTACTTTATTTTTTAAGATAACACTGAGGCTGCAAGAATTGTTTTGAAATGGGAAGGTGGGGATTAGGACCCCACGATCCCCCTTTTTTTTCCCCAATATTAAGAAGGTAAAATCTTGAGAAAAAATACCATTTGCAATCCTTTAAAAAAGTCTTGTTTCACTGACAGCATCCCAGCAAAGAGAAGACTTTCCTAGAAATGCAGACTGTAGAACGTGGATATTTTGATGCTGTGGCTGTGAGGGAGCCAGGAAGAGGCTTGAATTTTCCCCTTTCCCTCAGGATTTTGTGGAAACTTTTAAACTTCCAGGAGGATATCAGAGATTACATTTTTACATGGAAAACATGCCACAGACTTAAGAATAGTGCCATTGTCTTGGAGCTACACCAAAAATCACATATATTTTTAAAATGTTACAATAAATATTCTTCTGTTGACATAATTTACATAGGAAGATTTAGAATTACACTGAAGAACTCCATCTAGTTCAAGCTCTTTGTAATGCCATCAAGTAACTTCTTGAGAAATAATAACATTACGAGAAAAATGGCAGGAGACATTCATTAAATAATTAGTTTAAAATAACACTAATGGCCTCACCGCGTTTCAAGCAATGCCAATCAGGTGGTGCTAACCAGCGGCTTGTCTAGACATTTAAAAAATGCTCAGGACAAAAGCAAAGTAACCTATTATACATACATTTTTAACTAATAGCAAACCCAAACAGTTAATTTCCTGAATTTCTCATTTTTATGAGCAAGTCTGACTCTTACACTGGCAACACTTGAGGAATCCTATTATAGAACATCCCTAATACTTTCAAATTTTGACTTATTGCCCCCTGACTTAAAATATGCCAGCAGAAGTCTTCAACCAGTATTCATTTATAGCACTTCTGCATTTTTTAAGCATAAATAACAAAATGTATTAATAAAGCAGGTCTGGTGTGGAGATAATTTACTGTTGAGCTTCTGAAGCTCTAATTATCTACTTTTAAAGTCTGCTGATTACTAGTGATAAATTTTATAGGTTTTACTGCCTAACAACAGACACCTTGGATTTTTTTTCTTTACAGAAACTACATGAACTTCTATAGAATACATATCTGTTGGAAGGAAGTATAAAATCTGCATGCACTGCTCCATTATACACCCGTTTACATTTGCAAGATTAGGACCTAAACCTGGTATGTTTATTAATTCCATTCATGCTCAAAATCGTCAGTTCTCTGGAAGAAGGGACACTGTGAGATGAACTTTTGTGGAGGTGATTTTATGTTTACAAATAACAGTATCCAAAATTCCTCATATTGACAGTAATCTTTACGCCACCAGTTCAACACAGGTTTGTAAGTGCTACCACACAAAACAAAAATCAGGCCGGAGCTCGTTACAAAGTCAGTCACTGGATGCTATTACACGATCTGTAATTCGTATTTCACCATTGGTCATGAGGCTCATAGCACTGATGGGTTCTATCTGGAAGCTGAATTTATGCTCCACCTATCGACTCCTAATCTTGATCAGGTCATGGTAAAATGGCTGCAATAACCGCGAGCCCTCCTGTAACCTGTACCAGCTCCGCAGCCGCCAGGTCTGCGCTGGCCTGGATGCGGGAGGGAGCGATGCTCCAGGTGCTCTCTCCCGGCTGGCGCGGAGCGGCCACCTCTTCTTGTCCCTGAGCATCCCACGCCCTGGCACCCCAGCCTCAGCTGGAACCACCAGCTCTTCTCAAGGGAGTTCAAGGACAGTCAGGGAAAAGGGCAGGCTTTCTTAACCCTCCTGAGACTCCAGCGTGTCCTTTCCTAACAGACTGGGCAGATTTCAGATGGCCAGTAAATGAATTTGGCTTCCCACTTCTGGGATCATTGGAGTTTGCGGTGATGAAACCTCTCCCATGCCAAAAAAAAGCAAAGAGCTTGCCAGGAATGTTTCTGAGCCTGGTGCCATCTTTCAGGTGATACACAACACATCTTTCATCCTTTGTTCATCATGTAACGAACACTTCTGGGGTCCGTGTGGGACCCCTGGGTTGGCATGTGGCTACGGTCCCCATGCCCTGCTGAGCCACTGGTCTGCACTGGAGGAGCTACCGCCTCTGGCTATCTTTGGGTCTGTCTTAGGAATTTATTTGGAACTGCACCTGCAAAGTGCTGTCAGTTCTGCACGGTCAGAAGAAAAGTCACAGTAAAGTACCACAAAGCCTACACAGTTAATAGACAGAAAAATCCCTCTCAACAATTCTTCCTTTGACTGCTAAGTCATAGTTATGAAATGATCCCTGTAGTGGTCCTAGGTGATGCCCTATTTTCATAAATGCGGTATGTCAAAGAAAGCAAACGCATTTCTTACCCCTCTCTCCAGAAGCATGTCTCGGAAATGAGTGATGCGCTCTTCTAAGGGAGGCGTGATCCGAGGTGCTGACGTTTCCTCATTTTTCTCCTCCGTTTCAGCCTTCCCCTGGTCAGCAGCCTGGGAATCTTCTGTTCTTTAACAAGGTAAGATAGAAAATACTTCAGTAATTGCTAACTCGGGAGGGGATTTTTAACCCTCTCTAGAAAATCCTCCAGGACGGCAGGACTTCTTCGCGTGCACGGAGCAGCCAGGGAGCGGCCGCCGGGAGCTGAGCGGCGACCCAAATCTGCAGTCCGTTATTAAACCGCGGGGCTCGAGGGCCCTGCCAAGGGACCTCCGACAGCTCCTTATGTGGAAGGATGGTCTATCGGTGCGATCAAAGAGGAACTCAGCAGCGAAATACTACGCTGTCTTTCAAGCTAGAGAAAAGTGACAGCTTTATATAAAATTTGTCAAGGAGTGGAGACTTTAGAGGAGCGACTGAAGAGACTCATCTTGTTTTATTTTTCTTCCCTGTTTTTGCGCCGCCAAACTTGAAAATCAACACTAATCTTTATTTTATGTTCTCATGCACCCCACGAGCTCACTCCTAAGGGAATTAATCTGGCAACGCGTCGCATGCACAAACCTGCAATAAAGCATCAGCGAAGAACCTGCCCTTTGTCAGGGCCAGAAGGTCTATATTTATCCTGACAGCCTTTTTCCAAGATTGCACCTGATTAGAATAAATAGGTCTTTCTGAGAAATACTTACTACATATTGCCTGAGTCCCTTTGCCTACAAGACCCCTGGATAAAGGCACGCACGTAGCACTGCTGTGCTCATTTCGGGAAAGGACAGTTTACTGCAAGTCGCAACCATAAAGTGGCAGCGGCGTAAGAGCGATGCTCTCCTCAGGTGCCATCCTACGTAATTGGTGTCGGCACTGGAGCTGAACTGTTTCACACCAGATAAATATCTACATAATTTTATAGAGTTAGAGACCACGAACACTGCATTCTCACATCGCTGGAAGCGAACACCTATCTCCACTGTTTGGAGGGCTGAAGATTTGCCCCGGTGGGCCCTCAGCGTCTGCAGGGAGAGGTTAATTAGGTGGGAACCTCAAGGGTAGGAAGGAGTCTGCTGCAGGAGGGCGATGGGATCTGAGACGGGGATACGAACCTCCTGACTTCAGGGAAGTTGGCCAACTCAGACCTCGAAATCAGACTTCTGCTCTGGGTCCATCCTGCTGTTTCTTAATGCTTTGAGCAATGAATGAGTTCAGTACAAATTAAGGCTCTTTCTGGAAAGATCAGGAGTCTTAAAATGATCACAAGGTTCAAGTGAGGATAATGAAAGTAAGGCGATTTGATTTTCAGCCTCCTACTAGGCTTGACTGCATTTTCTACTGATGCAATTTTCACCACTACAGAATAATACTTAGTTTGAAATTTCAACAGGAAAACACTTTTTTATTTCCAAGCAAATGAATTAGATCAGTATGTAATGTGAGCTCTAGCGTATTATCTTCCTTCTACAAATAATTACATTACACTTACATTTATCCTAAAATGCTGCTGTATTACTAGTGATTTGAGAGATATCAAATTGGCGTTCTTCACAGAATGACAGTGACTTTTATATCGTAATAGCAAATCTTATTCTGTGACATGATACATGAAAGGCCCAATCCAATTTCTAGAACACACAAAGAGCCTTTTCAAGCCGAAACTGAGAGAAATACACTGTACAACTCCACCAGCCAAGCACCGGAAGAGCCCCTCTTTGCTTCAGTCCTCCTTACGCAATTGAAAATGATGCTGCAAATCACACAGACTTTTTTCTCATGCCAAAAATGTCAATAAAGAATACAATTTTCTTCAGCAAATTATACAATAATCTGCACAACAAACTGTGTGGCTTCCTATTCAGATGGACACATGCGCAGCCTCCTGCATGATCTTGGGAGCCTGCAAATCTCAAAATGAATAGTCGGTGAGACGTTTCTTATAACTGTGGTACCCACGGAAAAGAGAAGAGGCAATGGGCACAAAATGAAATACAGGGAAATCCATCTAAGCATAAAAAAAAGCTTTTTTACTGTGAGGATGGTCGGAGCCAGCGGCAGGCTGCCCAGGGAGGCTGTGGGACTCCATCCTTGGAGATGCTCAAACCGGCTTGGACAGGTCCCTGAGCGACCTGCTGGGAGTAGGGTGGGACAGAGACCCCTGACCCTTCAGCCATTGTGTGAAGAAAACCCAGAAGACCTAAGTTTCTCTTATTTTGTTTTTCTTTTGTAGAGAGTACAATCAGAGCATTGCCTGAGTAAGAATTTGATGTCAGTATTTTTAAGCAGTTTCATTGTACCCCAACGAAATGTAAATAAAAGTGCAACAGCAACTTGTGGATCCCCGAGTTCCTAAACCTGCAGGTGCAGACTCTGGCTGGAAGCACTGGACAGAGGTTGTGCAAATGTCCATGAGAGAAAGAAGGGAGTCCTGCTATCTTCTGCAGCCGGCCTCGGGTCAGGTCCTCTGCTAGCTCTGTCACCAAAGTAAACAGTAGGAGAAGCGAAATAGCAGATCTGTTCTTACCAATGTGAATCGGTGATCCAATGTGAACCTCTGTGTGGTGACCCTCTAGCTGAATTATAAAGAATTGCGCTGGAACTTTGATGCAATTAGATCTCATCATTAGCACAGCGCTTTCTGTATAGCAGATGATTTACTCTATGTCAAAGGAACAATATGATTTACTAAGTAACTTTACTTTAAAGAAAATAGAATAGGGAATACAGCATATTTAAAAACAAACCCTGAAAGCATGTAACCCCTCCTTTTTCAGTTAACCAAGAAAAAATGTTGATATTGCAAAAATAAGTGGATAATGGCTGTGTGGGGGTAAAAACAGGGTTCAATTTCCCGTTCTGCTGCAGATGTCAGGTGCAGGGCTGTGAATGTCCAGCTGCAACCTGCCTTCCGCTTGCGGCGGATCTCTGGGCACGCCGAGCCCTGCCCGGTGCTGAGCCAACGTTGCCTGCCTGCGCAGCGCGGGGCTGGGCTCCAGGGCACTCCTGGCCCCACTGTGACCGTCCAGCCCGGGCACCTGAGGGGACAGATGCTCAAGCATCACGGTACGGCACGATGATAGTGCTCCCTATCTCCCAACAGCATTCTGTGTTAAGTAGAGGAAAACATTCACTGTCTTCACATGCAATTCTTAATGTGGATACGACAGCAATATAAATAGATTTTCTGTCCATCCAGCAGCAAAATGAAAGTTTGTTTAGTTTTCGGCAAAGACAAATCTTTTTTCATCTCTGGATTCAGTCTGGAGTGAGCAGCACTTTGTCCATTCCCAAGTAAACCAAAGCAGAGGAAACAGATTTGGACCTTGTACGTGCAGCTTGGGACATGAAAAGCTGGTGATGTGTATCCTCTTACCCAAAACTCGGAGCTTAACCAGCACTTTAGCAGACTTCTCCATCTTGAGAATTCCCCTTTTGCTGTTCATGGCACGGAGTAACTCAGCTGCTTTTCTTACAAGGAATTACGGGCCACAGTTTTTAAATCAGTTCTGGTTTTGGCTGACTAATTCAGACACACACAGATGTAGGCAACTGAGACCCACAGCACTTAGAAACAATATCATCAGTTCCAAACACTAATGGCAGCAGCAATTTTAACCGCTGTGCAAACAACCGTTACTAGGTCTCAGCTGCGGAGATGGGAGGTTGCCCGCTGCAGTGGATACCCAGCTGGGACGGTACCACACAATCTCCAGTGGGATGTCTCAATCACATTAACGAAAACAATCCTATACAGCAAAAGAGTTTATACACGATTTGCATCCTGAGGATAACTAAATTCTAGTTTGAAATGAAAATCCTACAATATTTTACTTTTTATGTCATGAACTGTTAGCTTAGCCTAATATTAATACATTTAAGCAAACACTTAGACTGCACTTCTTTAGTAAAAGGTCAGTATTTTAAAGGTCCATCCATGAAACTCTATATTCTGCCACTGTTTCAGGGTACAAAGCAAAATGTCAGGAAATAATCACATGTTATAAAAGAGAATTTAAAATTCAAAATGGCTGTAGAAATCATGTAGTAATTTGGGGATGTATGTTCTGCTGACAGAAAAATAAACACTTCATGGCTTTTTAGTGACAGGTCAAACTTCTGGGGAATTGGGATCATCACAACGAAGTCTGAGAAAATGCTGTGCTGTCAAGCCAAATCTTTCTTGTTTATTATGTGAATGCTGCCCTTGACTTTCATAGGACTAATTGCCCAAATACAGCAAATAAGAATTGGTTCCTACAAATATAAAGATTTATTTTTAAAGATAGAATTTACGGTAGGGTTCTCGGAGCTTTAAATACCCTCTCAATTAATATCTTGCCACAAATCTCAAGTATGACAAAACTTGTATTATTTGTTATACCACACATAAATATAGCATAATGTAAAGACAAATGATGACATAAACAGCAGGTGATACACATTCATTATCACATGCTATTTACCTTCAGTGGCATAGTCACAGCTGAGAGTAGTCAGTGTTGCCTATGACTCAAACGACCTTTTCAAGACCCAAAGGATGCCTTCCCATCCCATGAACACTCTTCTCCGTGCGAGATGCCTTTGCAGCACCGGCGGAGACCGCAGCGCTGTTTCGCTGCCCATGCCACTGCAGACATTGCTGGCAATCGGAGGTGCTTGCCACCATGCTGCGGGATTTCTGACATGATTGCGCTTTTAGCTGGATGGCTGCATGATTTATGCTTATATGTGTATATATATGTGTATCTATAAATACATACCGCAAGAAAGACGCTACAATGCATTAAGGCAGGAGAGTCATGCAGCAACTCTGCGATGGGCTGAGATTGCCCAGCTTGAACTGTATTTACCTATTTGCTTTGGGGAAAAAATATGTATATGAAAATGTATTTCTGCAAGTAAATAAAAAGAATAAAAGATAAATTCTGCAAATACACAAAAAGATGGTCCATATTTGGGTCTCATAATTTTGACAATGGCCTTTTGACTGTAAAGAAAATAAGAGACTAAAAAACCCGAAGTTAGTCTTTCGAGTGCATAAGTCATGGAAACCCAATATTCCTCATTCACAAGTAGACGGTGAGAGAGGCACTGCCTGACCTTCCGACACACGGCACAGTAAGCCCAAGACTACTTTGAGTAATTTTTGTGTAAGTGCATTTTTCTGGAGTTCTGTGAACAAGCTTCTGGAGTTTTATGTACATTAATGGAAAGACGTTTTCACATTTTCTCAACCAATCACTGAAAGTCATCACCTTAATAGCACAGGTCATAATACCGGCCCGGTATTGTCAGACCTACTGATGTTAATAAAAGTATTCTTAAATACTTTTACACTAAATATAAACTTTTATACTGTTTGTAAATATACTATATACTATGTAAAGAGTAAAAGAACATATTTAGCATATATAAAGTATAAACATATTCTTTTATACCAAGCATTAAATGCTTAAATAGTCTGAGTATTGAATTCAGAGTATCTGATTCTTCCTTCATAATAATACAAATCCACAGAAAGTCTTAATGAGGTCAAAAGAACCATCCAATGCAGTAGGATAAGAATGGCAATATAAGAGAGAATAGAATTATCTTCAATATATTCACATGGAAAATACAGATATTTGTTGTGCTTACTCATCACAATGCCCTTAAAAATATAACACACTATCTATGCAGATTTATCTTAATCATAGCCAGCCTGCATGAACAGCTAACACTATATGCAGTTACTGGCCAAAGGTTAAATAGAATGAAATGTCTTTAAGGTACTTCTTAAAACAGAAGTGTTTACTTCATTTTCTTGCTGTTTTGGCAATGGGTGAGGGAGTTGCTTATTTGGCACATGTTTTTTTTGCCTGTTACTTCATGAGAATTTGAAACACACCTGGTAACAAAGGTCAAATAAAACCACAATAACAGAAATACCTCTGGATATTTCTGAGCCGGTAGCCTGGAAACCCTGACACCGGTGAAAAAAAATCTGCTTCACATCAAGGAAGACAAAGCTTTTATCCAATGTCTTTGAAATAACTACTTATCCGTACAGTCTTTTTTTTACCATTTCAAAGTACGTAAGAGTTACTTAGACAAAAATGGATGCTGTTTATGGGAAACAGATATTTTAGAGAATCATGGAGTTTGATGAAGATTGGATACCTTAGGAATGACTCTCATAATTTATTGGTGTAGTTATCCATACAGAAGAAAACAATTGTATTTCTCTTTGCACTTATTTGTACCAGACTTTTGCTTCCCAACATTACATATAGATAAGTAAACTTTAGAACTTACTTATTTCTCTTAGTTTTGATGCTAAGATCATCATTTTCATCCCCTGGACAAGAACTAACACATTTATCTGCTAAAAAGAAATAAATAGTTATTAGATTTGAACTAAATAAATGGGAATACAAATTCCTGAGATTAACCTTTCATTTCTTGTCTTTGGCTGCTGCTCAGGCATTTTTATTTTTTACCCTCCACAGTGTGTTTTAAAAATAACACATATTTCATCAAATCCACAGAAACACCTTCATCCAAATGAAAGAGATAGCAATAAAACTGACCATTTTCATTCTGAAAAATTGCTCATTGTTCATGTTGTGAACAAAATTGTCCATTGTTCATTTGAGACATGATTTCATTTAAATCTTGTTATTGTTTCACTTGATACTCCCTCCTCCCTTCCCTTAAAAAAAATAACTACAAAGACATTTCTGCAAAATTATTTCAGTCCTGGCAGCCCAGAGATTCAATAGTGTTAACTCGCGCCAGAACTTCCCTCCTTAGCCCATTTCTCTTCCTTATATAAGCAAATACAATGCTGCTTTTCCAGAAATTCAACCACCAGTATATCAACGCTATGGGGATAGCAACAATCTCCACACTGACGGCGTTGCAGAGTAACTCCAAAGCAACGTTACACTCCTCATTTGGCCTGGACACGCGTCCTTGAAGGACTCCGAGGTTGCATTGTCAGTCATAACAAACATGACGCATATGGAACAGATATCTGTTTCTGGAATCTAAACTTCTTTTTCATGTATACAAACTGCAGTTTTCATCAACATTCAAATGGACAGACCACCAGAAGTCATGTCCATCCAGTGCTCGGTTTGTGTCGGGGACTCTTCAGTCGTTCACTATGAATTAGTTGAGAAATATAAAAATCGAACTGTATGTGGTTAGCTTGGGAATATCAGAAACACCAAACCTCACCGTTTTTGTATTAGACTAGTAATGAAGACATGTCTTGCTATTTAGGAAACTAGGAAGAAATAAATTAAAAATAAATATAAAATTGAACTTAGGTTATGGAGATAAAAGGTTTGAATAACTTGAGATGGTGAGATCTGATCTCACTGAAATCAGATGAAACTCCAAGAGATCTGCTAGAAAATGACTGAACAAATAGAGATCAGTGGGTATTTTGAAATTTATAAACTAATTTCCAGTGCCTGTTACTCATCCAGGTCCAATCTTCATATCACTGAAGCTAACAGAAATTTGGCCATTTATTTCAAATTTCAATTTAAGAATGTTGTTCTTAGCTGATTTTGTTCCCCTATTTTAGGGAAATTACACGTTTGTTAGTATGCTTTCAGTAAATGTTACCTTTTATTTATTTTAAGTGCATGAACACAGCATACACTAAATCACTGCAAAAGAAATGATAAAAACCAAACAGCAGCTAGTAACGTTGCGGCTGGGAAGACCAGGAACAGAGAGCACACGAGGAGGAAATACACAGCAGGTGCAAATGGTCACTTTACTAACTACAACTTAAAGTGATAATAAGGAGAAATGAATGGCATTCCAAAATCAGGAGAGTTTGATCTCAACTTTCCTGATAATATATGAGCATTATGAATACATAAATGAATTTAATAATGCTTTAAATATACATAAATTCATTGGAACTATTACCTCTTCTTGCTAAATTCTTCTTTGGGATACTCAGTGAAAAACACAAAGTAATAGGAAAAAGAACCTGTAAACTCAGAAGGTGGAATGTAATTCAACAGAGATATTATAAAGCTATTGATCAGGAGTTGAACAACCTGCAGAGGCAGCAGTGGTCTTAACTGAAGGTAATAATATGAAATGACAGAGTACTTGATGGTGTTTTCAGAGAGAGATGAAGTTAAAGATGTCTCTAGGTTCAGTGCTGACTGGGCAAGCACCATTCTGTTCCTGCCCAATTTCACCACTATTAAAAGGAAAAGCCATGCCCGCAGGGCACCTCCTCTGTTTGTCACACGCCACAGACAGCCCTTCCAGAGCCAGCCAAAGGACGTACATTGTGGTATGCTCAGACATTACGAATCCTGGTGGGATGTTCTTTTAGTAAAGCAAGCAAGCGGTGAGAAGTCTGGCCCGCACAGTGAGCCTTTCCTGCCCGACATTTCCACAGGACAAGAGAAAACTCACTGGTGATGACAAACGATTATGTGAAGTTCTCCAGCTACTTAGAATCATAGAATCATAGAATCATTAAGGTTGGAAAAGCCCTCTAAGATCATCAAATCCAACCGTTAACCCAACACCACCATGCCCACTAAACCATGCCCCTAAGCGCCTCATCTACACGTCTTTTAACTGCTTCCAGGGATGGGGACTCCACCCCCCCCCTGGGCAGCCTGTTCCAAGGCCTGACCACTCGTTCAGTGAAGAAGTTTTTCCTAATGTCCAGTCTAAACCTCCCCTGGTGCAACTTGAGGCCGTTTCCTCCCGTCCTGCCGCTGGTTACTTGGGAGAAGAGACCGACCCCCACCTCGCTACAACCTCCTTTCAGGTAGTTGTAGAGCGCGATGAGGTCTCCCCTCAGCCTCCTCTTCTCCAGGCTAAACAGCCCCAGTTCCCTCAGCCGCTCCCAATCAGACTTGTTCTCTAGACCCTTCACCAGCTTCGTTGCCCTTCTCTGGACACGCTCCAGCACCTCAATGTCCTTCTTGTCGTGAGGGGCCCAAAACTGAACACAGGATTCGAGGTGCGGCCTCACCAGGGCCGAGTACAGGGGCACGATCACCTCCCTGCTCCTGCTGGCCACACTAGTTCTGATACAGGCCAGGATGCCACTGGCCTTCTTGGCCACCTGGGCACGCTGCCGGCTCATGTTCAGTCAGCTGTCAACCAGCACCCCCAGCACTTGTCAACCAGCACTTGAAGGTGAACTCAAATTTGAAGTCATCTTACAACAAGATCTTTCACAGATTTGTGAAAAGGATATATAATTTTTTAAATTTTGTTGTGAAAAAAACGTGAACTGGGCATTTATAAAACCAAATCCTAGCTACCATATAGCCTTCAGATAAAAGAAATGTGATACGATACACCCCGATTGCAGTGTTTACTTCCATCTGCTGGTTCCTGACACACCTCAGGTCCTCCCAGAGAGCAATGACAGTCCTGAGGCAGGGACACCAAATCCTCCTCGCCTTGCCTGCATGAGTGACTGCTGTGGATATACTGTCTTGGATAAATGGGACAAGATTAGAGTCAGCATCATCACTTTAAATTTCAGTGCAATGGAAAACTCAGTAAAACATGACAAATGGTATCTATACTCTCACTCAGGAACCTACTGAATCACATCGCACCGCTGGACCTCTGGTAAGATTATAAACTGACTTTGAAAGGGAAGAGAGGCAGCCGAGCACAAAATCTAATAATTGATTTAAAGCTTTGAGGAAGAATATTACTTGACAGTAATCTTCCCATGAAATCATGAAGCAGAGCGCTGCCCCAATCTGACGGTCTATCAAGCCTAGTGCTGATTAATTAAATCATTCAGCTAATCCCAGCCATGTCATGAATTCCGGTTCATTTTCCAGAACAAAGAGGAAACGCCAGCATTTACCAGGTGAGTTAAAGCGTTGTCAATCCATTGGCCACACACAAAAATCTGATTTGCAACTTTGTAAAGAGACTGGCACCCACATATCGCATGTAAGCCTAGGAGCTTATCTATGCTGTTCCTAGAGACCGTGCTTCACATTTTCGTCTGCATGCTAAAGGGTCCAAAATATTTGTGGGGACAGAGTAAACTCAATCATAACTGGTTTTGAATAGGGATCATACCAAGTATGAATCAACATGTCATTTTCTGTAGTCAGAATGTCAGTTTTCTTTTAATTAGCTGAAAAAATAACTTCCTCAGTCTAAACATCAAGACAAACCATTTAGCAAGTGGAGGAATAGGAAGAGATAAAAATGTTTTTCTCCACTGCAGTAAGACAGAAACATTTTAAGGCATCTTTGAGGGAAAAGGGATATTATGGTCAGTCTGTGACTGTACTGAGACAGAGGAGTGACGACAGTCAGGGACAAGAAGAGAGAGCTGTCCCAGAAGTGTTGCACTCTGCTGTCAGACAGCTCTGACGTGGGGACATGGAAGATCAAGGTGTGAAGGTCCTGGGAATGCCGTCTCTGTCCTGGCCCCGCGTCTGGTCGGCGGTGGGTCCCTCCACCCAGGAGATGTCCCTGCTGGAGGGGCTGGGGCGGTGCTGGCCGAGAGCTGCTCCGGAGGCTCGGGAGGAGCTGCGCCTCCTCCCCGATTCCACGGGATGGCCTGATGGGAACCCATTAGCAAAGAGCCATGACACCTTCATAAATCTCCCTAAGAACTAATACTTTGTGGAGGCGGAGTAATTGATAAATGAGTAATTTTTCATTTATGCCTAAATTATAAATGCACTTGATCTTTCAGCGGAGCGATGCGCAGATAACTTATAGCACTCCATGAATAACTATGCTTGCCAACTTTTTTTGTGCCTTTGATTTAAAAATTCTAATTAAAACTCAGCAGCAGCAACTAAGCTAAATAAATTTGGCAACCATTGTTGCAAACACACAGCTTATTTGTGTTATTTATTTACTCAAGATTACAAGCTAAGAGAAATGGTAACAAGCAATTCCTTTCACCTCAGCAGCTAATATATACTAATTATAACCTTACTGTCTCAAATACTGAGCAACCACAAGTCCCAATTATATCAAGGAAGATGAAGACTATTAGCAACAATGAAAACCATGGTCGTAAAGAAACTGTGCATGAATCAAATCTTGGTGGTACTTATAGATAATAAAAAGGATGGAACACACAGCAAAAAGCGGATTTTTGAAGTGGCACATATCAACAATGACTTTAGGCTGTTCTCATTAATTAATGATAGACCATGAACAATGACCCTCAGTTTTGTCTTTGGCCATCATACCCCCTTGTCAGTAACTAATTGATCTTTCAATATATGCTGTAATAAAAAATGTATGCTGTATTTTTCTCCTGAAGAATGAACTTCAGCAGATACTCTTTGGAATTACTAGACATGCAGCTAAAGTTGTTCAAGCCGTATACAAAAATGATATATACACAAGCATCTGACGATTGAAATTTATATTGAAAAATGTAATGACATTATATGTCGATAAGGACTACACTAATAGAAAACCACTCTCCGTAACTTTTCTTCAGTAACCTTCTGCTAACACTGATAACATAAATCCTGATTATCGCTCTCTTTTATCTACCTGCAGACATAGCGTTTCAAGTCCACAAATGCACACTCACAGCCCCTGTTTTGTGGTAGTTGATTGGGAGCTCTGACTGTGGATCAAAGCGTATATTACAGCCCACGATGGCCTGCGTGTAAAAGGCAGGTCACTTCACGAGGCTAGCACTGCTACCTTATTTTCAGTTATAAAATACTACACTTTAAAAGAATGACGAAAGTCTCATTTTTTTCCCCCTCCATTTTTCAAGATCTCACCACTAAAGAACAGGCATCAGCTGAAGGAGGCTCTCCAGTGAAATTGCTGTAAAGCAGAATATTCAAGACTTAGAAGCAGCTACTCAAGACAAGCAGCATTTCAAATGACTGCCGTGCACCTAGATGTTCTCCCAGTAATGGCAGGTCGTACTGACACAGCTCCCACATGAAAGCCAGTGTAAAGCATCAGGAAATAAAAGGAGGACTGACACGGCACGGAGCAGCTCCCAGTAACAGGGAGTCCACAGAAACTGGTGAAACATAATCTTTGGAGAGAAACGTGGTGGAACAAACTATGGAGCCACTACTGCGCTGGCAAGCACAGGCTGGCATGCTGGGCTGCTCCTGGACTGGTCACCAGCACGGACAAAATCTGGACTGAACAACTAAGGTACGGATAGCAGACCAAAAAGATGGCATGGCGAGGAGCATGGGATGGGAAAGTCAGGCTGGGAAAACCGCCTTTGTGAACTGCCCATCTTGGGGAGGACCAGACAGCAAACACCTTGGATCACTGACAAGCCAAGGGATGTCTTCTCAACTATATTTTGAACCACTTAACTTGTATTACTGCAGATCAGCAGTTATTCTTTAGCCACGACTGTCCCCTTCAGGAATCCACAGTGTTTAGAAGGTGACTGGCAGAGTCATGTTTAGATGGAAGCACCCGTTTCCACCAAACCTTTTAGCACTCATTAGAGATTTACTGCTGGGATTTTTTCTCCCCTCTACAACTTGGTTGGATAATCATTAGCTACGGATTGTCCGCTTTTATGTAACAGCTGAATAATGCATTGGTAATGCATTCCTAATGTACATCTTGGAATTAAGTGTAATAAAACATAAAGACAGCGTCTTCCAAGATGTATTTTATACATCAAAGATTCATCCAATATAAGAAGCCACCTGTTTCTTCATTGCCAATAACGAGAAAGCTCTATCCCCCAATTCAGCATTTCAGCGAAAATAAGGATTTTTCAATAAACACCAATTTTAACACTTTATACGAAATCTCAGAAGGAAAACCCTTCTAATTACGGTTATCAAACTTTCACTGAATGTATTTAGTGACCAAGTTTCATTCAACATTTGAGTTTAAATAGAGGCAAATAATCACAGGGCTTTAGTTACTTGCTGCAGCTTCCAGCTTGCGCTTGTGAGGAGGATCCTCGATGATCCGGTTTATGTCGCCGCGGTGCTTCAAGTCCACCGGCTTCTCCCAGACTGACAGCTGCATTGTAGGGTTGAAGAAGAAGACCCGGTCATCTCCAGTCCAGACTACACACCTATTCCAAGTGATAAATGATGCTTAGATAACGTCACATACACCCACAAACAAGAAATTAACCCGCAGCTGGCTTATTGCACCTCCGTTTGCAGCGCCTGGGTGAGTCCTCTCCGACTGACAGCCTGCCCCAGTCACCTCGGGTAGAGAAACCCTCTCCATATCAACAAGTGTCACAGAAAGGGTCTAAACACCCCAAAAAAGCACTAGGTGAAATATTCCATCACAGAAGGGAGAAAGAACCAGGCGAGGAGGAAGGCCGTGGTGCTCACAGCAAGAGAAGCCTCAGGAAAATACATTTCATGTTCTAAAGCTGTGGCTGAGAGCAGCAAGCGCAGCGGGGCGGGGCGGCCATGGCCTCGATGCCCATGGGCCAGGGCTGGGCGGCCATGGCCTCGATGCCCACAGGCTGGGGCTGGGTGGCCATGGCTCCATGCCCATGGGCTGGGTGGCCATGGCCTCAATGCCCACGGGCCGGGGCTGTGCCTGCTGCTGGCAGGCAGCTGTGGGAGCCTTATCTGGCTGCGCTGGTGGGAGGAGGTGTGACCACGGCATCCCCGCCAGCTCCCACCACACTCTGTGCTGGACAGGTACAACCAGCCACTGCAGACGTCTGCCACAAAGGTTTAGGTTGATTTTTATGGGCTCTGTTTCAAATTTGAAAAATGCGACCAAGTCGCTGCCGTACAAACCATAGTTTCTTGACTTGGTCAGTTAAAATAGGCATGACAGCAGTTCAACTTTTTGTCCTGACATTCATTTTAAATCAGCTAAAATAATATGAAAGTAGGTATTGCACCATGCTTAATAGACATTCAAAAGCCTCAAATTGTACTTCATTAAATCTGTATGTAAACAAACAAACAATATCAATCTCAAGCCCGTACTTTCTGAATCGTAATGAAAGCTAACAAACATCATATACACACTCTGACTTCCTCACACACACACACATACACACTTATAATGGGAAAATGTTGGTCTCTCCAAAGCATAAATACTTGGAAGGAACAAATCTTAACATCAGAAGCTCTGCTGCTGAACTGTTATTAAAAGCAGGGAACAAAACTGGTTTAAAAAAAAAAGCTTGATCTGGGTAAAAGACTGCAAATATAAAAAATGCTCCATCACTGCAGAGCACTGTAATAAGATAATCCAACATACTCTGTGTACCGCTGGTAAGACATCGCCATTGATCTTGCCCAAACACGTAATGAAAAATACATAACCTCTGCAAGAAACCGTGGAGGAAGCCGCGGGGCTGCAGGGTGCCGGGAGCAGTGCGGTGTCAGTGCATTACCGAGCCCGAACATCACAGTAATTATCTTCAGCAGAGTCAAACGTTCTCCCGATGAACAGGAGCACAAATTAGTTGTAAAACCCAGCCGTTGACTTCAGTCACACTTACACCCCGTGGAAGTTTTGGCATCCCAAATTCAGTGACACGGGCATGACAAATATTTTAATAATTTTCTGTTTATTTTAATGCACAAATGTTTTGCATCACAAAACAGCCTCACAAGACAGATGCTCTAATCCTCTGTTAGGCAATGATTAGGTATAGTAATGACTTCTTACTCTGTACCTTGGAGCTACGGGAACCTCTGTTCTCCCAGAAACTGACCCACCAGCCCCGAGCTTCTGCAGAACACACCGGAGGCATTCCACAGGAACACTTCCAAACCAAGACTCCCTTAAGTACCACGGTTGTCCCAGAAGGAAGGGAAAAAAATCCTGGCATTTAGGTGAAGAGGACAGACTTAGCTGATTAATATAAATGGGTTATTGTTATCCTTTTATTAAATACTCGAATTACGGTCAGGACACAGGCCCAATCCCACCCAGGAATAAATGCCTGCTTTGGAATGCCCCTTGCTGTAATTTCTTTCATTGGCAAATAAGCACACCGCAGAATTTGAACCACTTGGGGAGTTGCAAATGATGGTAAACTTGAAACCAGTATCTTGTTTGGGATCTGCAATGCTACCACACGCACACGGGACTGTCGAAGCCATTAATTGACAGAGATTATAACCAGTGGGTTTGGAAATGTGTGCTTTGTCTCTGCTGGTACGCTGCTGTGCTCTCTGCTCCTCTGGCCACGCACCCAGATGTCGGTGGTGCTCGTGAATCACTGAGTATCACCAGGTCTCGCATGCCATCACCCCAGATTAGAAATTCTGGGGTCCCTCGTGACACCTCTTCACTTTTCCATGACTAATATAATTTGACATTTAATTTAGAATTGATGTCCCTTTCCCCATGTAACATGTCACCTGTTCCTCTTTGGTATAATAACAGTTTCAATTATCCACAGGGGATACACATGGTATCTTGTTTCAGTCCCAGAGCATAAACTGGAAATGCAGATATTGTTATGTTCATGTTTCCCTTTAGAAAACTGTAATTTAAGTATAAGTAAGGGCACAAGATGATGATATTAGTCTTTTATTTTATTTCATAAGGTAGGTAAGGTTTGGTAACATTCCTGAAAATTTTTCTGCCATTAAAAATTATGGTGTAGCTACTTCTAACAGGTGCTTGGTGGTGTCACACCAACCATGGGTCCTGCAGAAGCAGGGAGCCAACCTATGGGTGGTATTACCCATCTATAAATTGCCAATGAAATAACTGGGAGAGAAGGAGGATCTGGCCCGAAAAGTAAGAACAATTCTCACGGATCTTGTATTTCCCCTTTGACCCATCCAAGCTGGATCCTCCACACGTGTGAGAGGTGGTGAGGCAGAGCCCAAGGCGCACGGCCGAACACAGCTCTGCTCACAGCAGGCAAGCGGCCACGCATGCCCACAAAACCAGCCAGAAGCCACGGGTTGCCTTCTGCCAGACCGGGCCCCTGGCTGAGCCGGCGCTCCGCAGCACACTGCCCTCACCTTGCACGTCCAGGAGCTGGCTCACACCGTGTTTTGCTGCCTCCCCGCATTTTCCTTAAGTACATGATTAATGAGGAAAAGCTCCAGGGGAAGCTGCAACAGGAGCCCAGCATTGCTACTTAACACCCAGGGTAGCAGATTTTCCCCACATACCAGACCACTAATGCACGTTTGGCGCAGGAAACAGCACTGATGAATGGCTGCTAGCAGGTCTGATTGCATTTGCTTACCATGGAGATCCTGGCACTGGAGTGGATGCCACGGGCTTGCTGCCGTTTGATGTGCCGTCATCCTCATTTACTAGTTTAAAAGAATGGTCCTTGAAAGACAGATAGAAATTAGTCAACAAATAAAGCCGATGCAGAGGACTTGTTATACAAATCACTTTCTTTAACATGAAGTGGATTACTCTTATTGCCATTGTTCTGCGAGTGGCTTTATGAACAACCAGCTACCTTGAGAATAGCCCAGATAAACGGGAAATAATAAAAATGTCGCCCCACTTACAGCAAAACAAATGAAAAACCAGCAGATATGGCTTTGTCCATGCTGATAGCTCACTTGGGGTAGCGGGTCTAACTCTGTGTATTGCAATAACGAGGAGAGCCACCTCGTCAGAAACGAAGTGCGGGGGGTGACGCTCATCCTAACGAGGGGCAGGGGCAGGCAGGAGGGTGCTCCCGCTGCCGCCGGCCCCCGGGGCTGCGCACAGAGCAGCACTGCAGGCAGGGGAACGGTGGGGAAACGGCCAGGGAAGGCGTGCGGGTGGCACACGTGGCAAGAAGGCACTTGTGCTAGCTCCAGCGCATGAGGCAGCGTTTGGCCAAAGGGAACCACTTGCACGGGCGCAGCGGGAGCAGCTGAGCCAGCCTGGGGAGCACACGCTGCTCCGCAGAGCCCAGCGCCCTGCCTGCCATCACCGGCTGCTCGCTTCTGAGTGGTTTTGCTGGGACTTCCCAAAGACATAACAACACTGGCAAAAGGGACTCTTCCTGGCTTCAGCCAGCAGTAACCCCCCTGAAGCCCCATGGAGGGGACCCGGCTGCACTCCTGTCCCCATCGAACCCTCTTGCAACAGGGCTGGGCCGCTCTGCATAAGGCTGGCCGTATGGATGGAGCAACAGACAACGCAGCAGGGTTGTACGGTACAGCTGACAAGTACGGGCAGTGTTTTACCGGCTGAAGAACAGCTACTTATTGTAGTAGCTTACGGAAATGAGCTGCGAGGGGGAGGTGTGGGAGGAAGGCAGTGATCTAGCTCAATGCGGTATCAAAACACGGGAAGCACATACTTAATTAAAAAATAATAAAGCATATGTCCAGAGGTCTTAATCTTGAAAGTACTTTACAACTTAAAGCTCTAAGGAATGTGCCCAAGTACCAACACAGCTGCAAATGTGGGGAACGCCTGCAGCGCTTGGTACGCAGGGAAAGTTTGCTTGCAGAGAGCCTAAAGACGGCAGCGTGATAGGAACATGCCAAACAAAAATAAACTGAACAGCAGCTCAGTCCACAGGTCCTCCTCCTGCAGCGCAGCGCTCCTGATGCATGCAGCACGTGTGCATGGAGCAGAAGCACGGGGGGACAGACACACCTGCTCCAGGGCTGCAGGGTGGCTTCGAGCATCTTCCGCACTGCTGCTTTCTGAGCCTGAGATGCTCTTCCACACCCCCATTCTCAGATGAAGGTTTCCCTCTTTTAGCTTTAGCCGTTTACATGAAGTCTGCATGAGCTGTGTAAATGTTTCCATCTATTTCATAGAAGCTGGAGTATGATTCAGGTCCCTTTCCCTCATACAATAATCTAGGCTTTTTTATAAAAAGCTAATGAAGTTACACACACATGGTATTACCCATCTATAAGTTGCACACACTATTTGCTATCCATTTACGTTCACCTGTCAGTTTTATTTAAGGCCCTTGCAATTATCTGTAAAGGAGGGCTACAGAAGTGCCAGTACAGGGCCAGCACAGTTAAATCAGTAACACCAAAAAGGTGAGGGCCATGAAAAAATTCCTCCTTGCACGAGGGGCTGACGTTGCGATAAGAGGCACGAGGTCCAGTGAGCCAACCCCGCTCTGAGCAGGGGCTGACCCAGCTCCACAGGTCCCTGCGGCCGCAGTGAGCCTGAGAAAATCACAGACGCTGTTTCTGCACTTCAGCTTCTCAGTACATGATTTTTTTCAGGAGCTGTGTCACACCTCCACATTTACACACACACAAACACATACATGCACACCCACCCCCCGCCAGCGACTCCCTTCTCCTCCAGCATGGAGACAAAGCCAGCCGCGAGCATCCCTCCCCTGATACTACAGTGACAGAGCTCCTATAAAGCACCAAGATAAATTAAACAGATAGTTCTGTAAAATCAACTGTAGGAAACAATCCTGTATCACCAGCACAGTGCTGGCCAGAGGACAGTCCTTTACACTGACTGATTTGTGCAGTTCAATAGTTTAAAAAGGTTTTTAAAAGAAGAAACTCCATTGCAGACCTTATTGCCATCGCTCTCCACGGGGGTACTCTTCCTCTCCGTGTGTAAAATCAAGGTCGGTGGGCAGGAGGATCTACTCGATTCTTTGCCATTATCTGTGAGGGGAAAGGATTTCTTTTTAATGTGCAATAAATACATTCCCAACAAGCCAAAACTGGCAAAGAAAAACCAAACCGCTCCCTGTGTGTTCTCCTCTCATCTCCTCGCCTCCTCCTCCTCACTCAGTCCTTTATTTACATGCATACGTGTGTGCCAGGGACCGTATCACCCTTCTGAATATCATGCTGTATTTTAATGGGACACATTCATATACTTTAGAGTGAGGCTTTTATCGCACTGAGCTTTTTGTCCTGCTTTCCCTGAAGCCAAAACTTTTTTCCACGGGCACATCCCCTACTCCCCGGGGGCACGGCCACCCGCCGGAGCAGCAGCCTCCCCCC